GTCGAAGGGCTACATGCCCGCAGCATTTTATGGTAATTAAACACTCGTTTGGTTCTGAGCCTGAACACAAACACTGGAGGTCCAGAAATCACGGGGCGGCTCCGGGGGGATGCAGGTGCAGCGAGAGGACAGAGAGATGCTCCGACCGCGGGACTTTCCCACCAACATGGCCCCGCGCCACTGGCACACTCATTAGGTCATTACAATAACGAAGGGGGCATTTTTTGTTTTATTAAAAAACTCATTATTCCCACAACAAAGGGCACGTACTGACCTCATTGGTGCCCCTGTTATCTGAATATGCTTTTATATAATGGAGCATCTAATTGCAACTCGGCGCCGCAGCTTTCCCTCCGTCCGACCCGTCGGTTTCCGCTCTACGAGGAGTGAAAGGAGAGCTAAAGAGGATCGGCCCTCGGGGGCCACTGACCTAATGGGAAACCGGCTTGAGTTCCTGCCGCCGCAGGAAGCTCTGAGAGGTGTAACCCCTCTCAGACCTTTTCACCTCCGTCTGCAGCCCAAATGGTTTTCTTTGAGAAGCACAGAAGAGAAAACGGGTTGGAAAAAGAAGAAACATCACCTCCAGAGAGATGGAATGTGATTTAAAACTGCATCCAAACCCAATCAATGGCAGATAAACAGCAGGTTTTTATTATGATGATGAATTTAATCATGTAAAAATCCCTGATTTGATCAGTGACGGACTGGATCGCCCTCTTTGCTCCATGATTGTTGGCTTTTAATGTCAATGTTAGACCAATGATTTAATAATCAGAATATGTTTTTGTTTCAGAGGCTGGTATCTTATGTGGCCTTAAAGTAGGAGAACTATGATAACTGATGAGGTCAGGATTAGGGTTATACCATAACTTACTCATTAAAAAGTTCTCCACACTAACTTTTAATCACTAATCATAAAGAATACTTCCACTAAATCTAACGTGCTTTACCAACATAACATTTAGTGGCAGCTAACGCTAAAGCACCAGCATGGCATTTAAATCTAAGAGTCAGTGGAAAGACTTGGAAGCTGATGCCGTCGATGTTCTCCATCTAATCTGAGTTAAACTAAACCATCAGTTTAAAGACGTTCAAACATGCAGGAGACAAAAAGGCCTGAAACTAGTGGAGCTTTTAGAAAGTTTTGACTCAGGAGGCTGGAATTAGAAAACCAGAGTTCACCTTCATCCACTTCACCACCACTTTGTGTTTGAGTCGTCTGTCACCTCATATTCCAATAAAACCCATGTCAGAAATTAATTTTTTAATAAATTGGAGTCTAAGAATGGAAGGAAAATTCACAAAAGAATGAAGCAGATTTAAGAAAACTGGAGATATCTCAAATGAAATGATCTCAGGTTGATGAAAATGTAATAAACACATCAGGAATCATCCATTACTGCCTGGATTAGAGTTTGAATTCTGTGGACGTCTGCAGAGATTTAAGATGCAGACGTGATGAGTGGAGAAGAAAAGACTGAACTGAAAGAATAAAGAGTTTAGTAGGAGAGATGAGTGATCCAGTCATCAATAAGGCTCCCAGACGTCCCACAGGACAGGAAACGGCGTGTTGACCAGCCGAGTCTACACCTGGTTCTCTCTGTTCAGCTCCTCTGTTTCATCCTCACAGAGAAAAGTTAAACTTCCTCTGACCGTAACGGTCCAGCAGCAGAGGAGACGGTTCTTTCAGCTGATGCAGAAAAGATTCTCTGGTTTCATCTCTTCCTTACACCAGAATGAGACCCGATCGGCATCAGGCCACAGGTCAGGGGAAAGTTAGAGCAAGTCCATCAAGACTTCGACACAAATTCAGTGATGAAAGCCGCCACGTTTTGTTTCTGCAGACCTGGGACCAGAATCTCAGGACATCCTGAAGGTCTTGACTTGGATTTGGGATTAAAAACTCGAAGCCTGACTTTCGACTTGCCTTGATTTGAATAAAGCTTCTCTAACTCCTCTGAGTTAGAGAAAAACACTTGACACTTTACTTGGACTTTATCGCCAAAGACTTGAGACCTGATTTGGATTAACATTCTAAGGATTTGAGACTTGACTGTAGGTGAAACATTTGACTTGGATTTGCCCCTCAAAGACTTGACACTTGACTTGAAATGTCTTGGATTGACTTGTGTTTGACTTGGACCTGTGGCAAAATATTTGAGACCGGAGTTAGAACAACCCCTGAAAAACAGCAGACTTGAGTTTGAGCAAAATACGACTCGTTTTTAAGACTTGAAGCTTCACTTGGCCTTTCGTTTCAAAGACTTCAGTCTTTTGCAGGTAAAGACCGGGACCTGAAACAGACTTTATTATCAAAGTCTTGACATTTATCCTGACCTGCTGAGAAAGACTTGAGATGTGACTTGGGAAAATGACTTGTAAACAAACAAGGCGTTGATGATCCATCACAAACCTGTGCTGAGTTCATTAAGTGGTGTGAAAACACCCGTCAGGTTTCCCCTCCGCTGGGTCTGTTCTGCTTTCTTACCCTCATCCGCTCCATGCCAGGCAGCTCTCCTTTGCCCTGACCTCCCGCCTCCTGCTGGGGCATCTCAGAGGCCCTCAGGGGCCCTGCTGGGCTCCTTCTTCCTCTCCGGCCCGCCTCTTCAGGAAAGACCTCAGACGGCTGCCAAATAGCTTCCCAGGCCCCATGTCGGCCCCACTCCTCGTCCTCCACTGGCCTCGGAAATACCTGAGGCCCCCGGGTGAGGGAACCTGCCGCCGCGGGGTCTTCACACGCCGTTTGAATCAGCGTGGAGAGAGAGATCTGCAGCCAGCTGAGGTTAGCATCTCAGCTCTCCAGTGACGAGTTTGTCTTAATTAGATCAGAAGAACTCAAACCGAGACGTGTCGACTTCTGTAGTTTCTCTCAGAAGAAACTATGATTCTAGTAACACGACAACCTGAGAACGAAGATACTTTTGTTCAGTGGGCTGGAAAACAAGAACTGAGTAAAAATGAAAGAAAGGGAAACATCTCCCAGTTCCTGCTCTGAACTATTTCATTCATTCATAGCTTAGCAGCAGAGAAGCAGCAGAACAGTGAAGGAGACTTAAAGCAGGTCCTCTGGCTCCACCTTGTGGCAGCAGCTGCGCACTGCACCCTGCTGGTGTTTGGTAACAAGCAAACCGACTTCTCTACAAACTGCTGCACTTCTCACATTCTCCAAATCTAACTTTGGAAACAAACAGAACAAAAGATAATGAGTGTTTGTGAACGCAGCAGAAAACACAAGAGCAAAAAATGAGGAGCAACTGGAGTAAAATTATGACTGAGGGTGAAAAGAAGGGAAATTATTTACCGAAATGAAAAATAATAGAACTGAAGCCAAGTTCCTTCCTGCTAAATGAGTTTTTACTCTCTACTGTCACCACATGGATTCTAATTAAGGCGGATTGATGTAAAGTCACAAGCCATTGTCAGATGTCGCCCCCTGCTGGTCCAGGAGGAGTTAGCGCTGCTGGGTTTCCTTTGATAGAAACGTTTTAAACTACTTTGATTACTGAACTGTTTGGGATTGTATTAAAATGACTTTTGTGTTGTATTAATAAACATAATTTAATTCATATTTTAGTTGGACAACATTTACATTTACTAAACCAAAGAGAGCAGAGCCATTTTACTTTATTTTATGAAGACCTGTAATGAAGTATATTGTGAACCCAAGTGGGAATGTTGGTGGTCATAATGTTTTGGCTGATAGAGCCCAGTCCAGAGTCAGGTTGCTTAGATATTTATTTACACATCAGACTAGTGGCGTCATATGAAAAAGAACATTTTTACAGTTTATTTACATCAACTGTAAGGCATTATGGGAAAAAACACTGAAGTGAAACAGAGAAGCTAAATAAGCGTAAAATATAAAACAGCTGAAACGTTTAAATAATAAAACATGTTGATGGAATAAGTTCAGTTTGAAGTCGACGTGGGAGAGAAAGTGGATCCGGTTAGTGAAACACAAGCAGAGACCAGAACCAGAACCGGATCGGTTACTTTCCAAACTGGTAGAAAATCTTTGTAGTTTTTAATCCATTTTAGTTTCATTTGAATAATTTACAGCGTTTGGATCAGGAAGCAGTTTAATACTTTAACGTCGGAGCGTCTGCTGCCGGTACCGAAGGTCCGTCCGGTCGGGTTAGTGTTGTACCCAAAGCTTCATCCGGAACCAACACAAAGCGGGTCGATCCAGATTCTGATACGTAAAGATTCACACTTTGGTCGAGTTTTATTTTGAAAGAACCACTTCCTGCCTGAAGCTTCTAGTGTTGAGCAACCAGGTTCTGGGTTCTGTACCTCCAAACGGAACCAGAACTAGAACCACCGACATGTTCCTGGAAACATCAACTCTTCCTCTGATGCTCCCCAGGTGTGAAAAGGTCAAAGGTCAACATGTGAGGATGTGTTTTAATGTGAACAGGAACCGGTTTGGATCTTCACCTTGGATTCTAACGTTCCTCACAGTCGGGCCAGGCGGTTCTGCTGGTCCGATCGGGTCCACCCTGTTCCCAGCGTGGGGTCGGACCGTGGAGGTGATGAAACCCGACCGACGTTTGGGTTCAGAGAGCGAAAAGGAACCACGGAGGAAACGGACCGGAGAGGAACCACAGTGCCGACCAGAACCAGAACCAGGACCAGAAACAGAAACCTGACCAGAAAGAGAAACCTGACCAGAACCAGAACCAGGACTAGGACCAGAAACAGAAACCTGACCAGAACCAGAACAGAACCAGAAAGAGAAACCTGACCAGAACCAGAACCAGGACCAGGACCAGGACCAGGACCAGGACCAGAACCAGAACCAGAACCAGAACCAGAACCAGGACCAGGAGAGGTAGGAGTGTTTTGGACTCGGTGGGAATGTTGGGCACCACACAATGTGATGCGTTTAATGAACAGGGAAAAAAAATCTGATTTTTCAGCATCTGACCTGCTGATGGGACTAAAACCATCAGAGCTCCTGGGTCGGGTCCGTTTGGGTTTTTAACGATATTTATGACTAAAAGGTGTAACTTCAGGTTCCTCTCGCTCTTCCTCAGTATTTCTGCTTCTTCATCGTCGCTGAGTCACATGATCTCAGGGTCAACCCTGCTGCTGACCTCTGGGTGCTGGTGCAGGAGGAGCTCACAGTTTTACTCCTGGAAGGCGACCAGCAGGCGGGTAAACAGAACCAGAGCGGCCCGTTGGGTCGGTTCCGCTGGGTTCTGCAGGAATAAAGTGCTGAAAGGAAATCTGGATCCAGAGGAAGCATGCAGCACATTCTGACACGTCTGAATCCTCCGTCTGGGATAAATACTGCTTCAGCTGATCCAGGAAGTAGAGAGGAACTGGACCGGAGAGGTTCTGGAGCTGTTCCCCTCCCGGCCAGCAGAGGGAGCACCAGAAAGTCCAGCCGTCTCTCGGCTCCATGTTGGGGCGGCGTTAGCTCCTCAGAGCCGGGCTGCCGGACTTCTCCGCCTCTCTGACGTTCCCGTCCTTCATCACAGCGGAGAACACCTGCAGACAGGAAGCAGGAAGTTACACAGGAAGCGGCTCCGGAGTGATTCTGCGGGAGTGGGAGCGGACCTGGGCCCAGCGGCGGTTCCGGCTGATCATGTGCGTGTTGGCCATGGCGGTGAACAGCGTGTGCGGCTGCAGGTCGTCGGGGAGACGCGTGAGGAACTGGGCGATGTGGATGAAGTCCATCTGCAGCAGGACGTCCTCGAAGAGGCGCAGGATCCCCAGGCCGGTCCGGAACAGGCTCTCCTCGCCGTCCCGGCAGAACACGTCCCAAACCCGGCACGCCACGTCCAGCGGGAGAGACTTACTGTACAGCGTGAAGATCCTGGACGGACCAGGCAGGGAAAAATTATACACATTAAAAATAATAATAATCATTTCAGTTTCAATTTTATTCTTTTCAAAATCTTTTATAAAGGTTTATTATATATTTCAATAATATATCATTTTAAATATTCTTTTGTTCTGGAAAAATATACTGTCTGATATTTTTAGGGAGAAATAAGTTGAAAAAATATATTTTAAAAAAATGTTTAAAAACTAGATTGAAAAAAGTTTTAATATATTTTTAAAATGTTAAAAATATTTCAAAACTTTTTGAAAAATATGCATTAAAAAGTTTTAGAAAATAACATTTTATATATTTTTTTAATTTGAAAAAGCAAATAAATGTATATACAAGTATATTTATTGAAAATCAAAGCCCTCACCAGTCGATCAGGTAGAGGTCAGGGGTCAGGCTGTTGGTCTGGAAGTGGCTGAAGAGTCGAGGAAGATTCTCCTCAAAGAAAATCTCGAAGGCGGCGAAATACTTCAGCATCTGGAGGGACAGAGAGAGACGGGTCAGCGAGGTTCTGCTGTGGTTCTGCTGGGGGTCTCGTGATGCTCTGGTGTCGCTCTGGTGGTCTCCATGGTAACCGTCTCCTCACCAGCTCGTGGTCCACCCTGAAAAAGGCCATCTGACACGGCTTGTTGAGGAGGTTGGCGAAGGTGATGAAGGCTTCGGCTTCCTCCAGGTTCAGGATCAACACGGCGGCGATGAACGACATGCCCTGGACCTGCAACACACAGAACCGGGTTGGACTGGGTCGGGACACACAGAGCGGCCGTGGAGCCCGTCAGAACCGATCCGGGGCGGTTCTGAAGGGCGGACTCACGTAGCCGATGTCAGGTCGGTAGCAGGTGTAGGCTCCCAGCACGCTGTGCAGCAGGTCGTGGTACGGCCCGCCCTGCGGACAGAACACAAACGGGTCAGAGCGAACCGGGCCCGGCGGCGCCGCTGCAGGTCCGGTACCTTCTGGAAGATGAAGAGAGACGGGAAGGTTCTGGAGATGTCCAGCTTGATGAGGTCCAGACTGGACTCCCGGTCCGCCAGAGACGCTCCTCCGTCTGCAGAGAAACAGAACAAACCGGGATGAGCCGGCCCGCCGACCCAGGTCAGAACAGAACCTTCAGAACCAGGACCGGTACCGCTCTCGTTGTCGTTGACCGAGCTTGTCTCGCTGTAGCTCCTCCACTTCTCCTTGGCTCTGGACAGGAAGATCTCATACAGTTCTACAGAGACAACCAGAACAGGGCCTTAGAGACCCAGAACCAGAGAGGAGCAAACAGAACCAGAACCCAGACCCGGGTCGGTACCTGCTGTGATGTTGAGCTCGTTGCCGATGGCCAGGCTCCAGACTCGTCCTCGGACTCCAGGAGGAAGGCCCTGCCACCAGAGGTCCCGGACGCGCCTCGTCCCCTTCCTGAACACACACAGGGTGAGCTGCTGACCCCTGACCCCACTGACCCCACTGACCCCTGACCCCGGAGAACCTACATGGCGTCCCAGTGCGGCAGGATCTCGGTGTTCCAGACCACCATGGCGTTGGAGATGCTGTCCTCCTGCCGGTGTCTCTCCTTCATCTGGCGCTTCTTCTTCTGGGCGTCCTTCATCTCTGGAGACAAGAGGTCAGAGGTCAGGGCTCTGCACCAGAGCGTCCTGGGGGTCAGAGGTCAGGGCGCTGCACCAGAGCGTCCTGGGGGTCAGAGCTCACCTCTCCTCTTGGCTCCTGCCACCATCTCCTCGTACTCCAGCTTGTGTCTCTGCGTCTCCTCCAGGGACTTGGCCGGCAGGTTCCTGGGGACAGACAGAGGACAGTCAGCTGGCCAGACCGTCGTCATGGCGACCCGGGACGGTTCTGGCGGGACTCACGACGGCCGGTCCTCCAGAATCAGAGCGGTGGTGGACAAAGGCTCAAACTCCAGGTTCTTCCTCCTCCCTGCCGCCGGGGGGCGCTGTGGACACGGCGAGTCCTCGTCCTCCTGCTGAGGACAGACAGACAGGAGCTGAAACCCAAGCGGTTCTGGACGGAGACACCAGAGCTCCCTGCATGCTGATGAGGACACGTCCAGCTCCTGATGAATGGACGTGTCTGTAGCGGAACAATGAAGGACTGATTCAGACGAGGACAGCTGCACACCAACAACAGAATCCTTTCATATCGCCGCTTCCACCTCCGGCCAGCAGGGGGAGACAGAGGAGGACAGGATCAGACTGACTGGCTGTTCATCTGACCAGCAGAACCCAGACCCGGTCCAAGTCCAGATCAGGAATCCCAGGAAATAAAGGAGAGATCGTCCTTCCACATAGTTTAACGCCTGAAGACTCTGTTTCCTTTTTCTGCAACAAGTGATTAGAAACTGAACCGTCTCACCTGCTTCCAATAATCAACCTCACCTTTTTTTCCTTATTCCCCCCTCCTCTATTTTTCTGCTTTTTTTCTCTCCTTTTTCTGTTTTCTAATTGTTCATCCTTTTTGTTTTTTCCTGTTTTTCTTTTTTATAATTTGTTTCTTCATCTTGTCTTTTTTCCACTTTCTCCTTTTTCCCTTTCTCTCTTTCCTTGATATTCTCCTCTTTTTTCTTTTTAAATTTTTTGTCCCCTTCCTTTATCCTTTCTTCTCCTATTTTCCTTATTAAATTCCTCCCTTTTTCTTTTCTTTCCTGCTTTTTTCATTTTTTCTTTTGCTTTGTTTTTCCAATGTTTTCTCTTGTCATTTTTCCTTTTTTCCCGTTCTACTTTTTCTCCTTTTGTCTTTATTTTCTCCTCTTTTCTCTTTTCCATTTTTCCTTCATTTTGTCCTTTGTTGTTGGACATTGTGTCTAAATATTTGTGGCAATGTGTCAGAATTTACACCTCCATTATTCTCCAATAAAAGGCCTCCATGATCAGAGTCTGGTTGGTTCTGACCCGGTTCTACTCAGCAGAACCCGGCCAAGCTTTAGGTCCAGTCATCGGTTCCCTCTCAGTAAATTCCCACCAACCAGACTCAGAGTCTCAGCTGTTTCTATTTCATCCCTGGAGTAGAAAACATCCGTCTGTCCTGTAATCACATCTGGGAACGCCGTGGCAACTGGGACCGCCGCCATCTTCCTCTTCCTCCTCCTCCTCTTCCTCCTGACGTGTCAGCCCCTCTCAGCCAAGCCACATGTGGCGTCAGCTTTCCCTGAGTCATGTGATCTGAGCAGAAACGGCAGCAGCTGCCAGACGGTCTGAGCAGCAGGAAGAGTCGCGGCGGGCGCAGCGCTCTGAGGGAGCGGCCATGTTGCTGCTGATCGCCCCTAAACACCAACCCAGCAGGGAGAGAGAGAGGGTGGAGCGTTGTTGTTATGATCTGCTTCATCTACAGCCGCCTCCGTGTGCCGGTCGCTTAGCAACCACCAACACCCCCATGAAACCCATTTACAGACCCAGTTGAGCCGTGAAAACAGGCGAGAACCGGACCGGACCGGACAACAGGTGGTCCGGAAGAAAAACCAGCAGCAAACTGGTTTCTATGGGAAACTGGTTTGGTGTTTTTGTTCCACTGCTAATAAAATCCAGCTGTGGATTTACTGCTGCATCTGGGCCAAAATCAGGACCAAACCTTAGAACTGCACTGCAAAAACACAAAATCAAGACAAGGACTTCTGAGAAAGTTTCTAGTGCAAATATCTAGAAACATTTGAAATAAGAAAAAACTAATTTAAAAGTAATTTTTCAGCACAATATAGGAGCTTGTTTTAAGTCAATAATTCCTCTTTCATTTTTCTACTTATTATTTTACTAAATTAATGAATTACTTACATCACTCCATTATAAATATGTTATGAGTTTTATAGCTTATGGTTATATTTGTGTTATTAATATTTAACACCATGGATGGAGGAGCTTGTCAACTAATAAGTAATTTCCCCTTGAGATCAATAAAGGATACTTTATTATATTTTATTTTAGCATTAATAATAAAAACTTAAGTTATAAGTGAATAATCTGCCAAGACATTTTAACTTATAATATGGTAAAAATGTCTTGCTCCCCTGGCAGATTATTTCCCTTATAACTATACTTTTTCATCAAAATTAAGGAATTATTGACTTAAAACAAACATCTATACGCTGCTGAAAGGTTACTTGTAAGTTAGTTTTGTATTTTTAAAGTGTAATAAGATATTTGGACCACAAACTGCACCAAAATATTTGGATAGATTTTGTGTTTTTGCAGTGTGACGATGTTCCAAACTAAGTTTCTGCCTTGGTTTGGTTTTGTTGAGGCGGTATCATGCTGTGGGATTGGATAATTGGCTCAGCCTCTGCTCAGCGTCTGCTCAGCGCCTGCTCAACCTCTGCTCTGCGTCTGCTCTGCGTCTGCTCTGCGTCTGCTCTGCGTCTGCTCT